GCAGCGGACTGCTGGGGACAGGAAGAGGGGCTGGAAAGCATCTGCAGGACCCTGAATGGCTCAGGAGGCTTTTGGGGAACCCCCAGCATTTCAAGCCTGTGTGGGGGCTCCTGCCCGATTCCCAGTCGATGGAGCAGGGCTCCCGCGGAGGTTTCGAGCACGCGGTGCCTTCCTGCGACGGGACAAGCCACAGCCGCCAGCGTGTGTTTCGATGTGCTCAGAGTGGCTGGTTTTTCAATGAATGCAGCATCGTGGTCCCACTCAGAGAGTTTCTGGAGGATCTTGGAAACGAAACACCCTCTCACTGCCCCTCTGATGGGTGGCAATTGTTCCTGGAGATAAAAGGAGATGAGGAGGGCAACTGTTCCCTTCCCCCTGCCTTTGGGTCAGGAAGCTCTGGCTCGTCTGGTGAGCTCACTGATTCCATTGCCGTGAGCTAGTAAAACTGTTAGTCGTACCCCGGGGCGCCCAGCCTCCCGCTCCCCGGGGGAGCAGCTCCCGAGCCAGGCACAGGCAGACGGCGGCCATTGGTGGGAGAAGTCATTTACACATGCAATATATTATTGTTTAAACAGCCGATATAGAACAGTTGCTTGCAAAAACTGGCGCCTTATAAAGGGAACTTGGACCATAGACTTTTGTTTGGTTCAGAGAATCTGTCTGATGTTGCATATGCAAATCATTTATGAAGCAGTCTGCAAAAGGCCGCTTTGTTGCGTGCATTTGTTTCACCTCACTTGTTTTTATAAGGTCCTGAAGAGCTCTCTAAGAACACAATGAGTAGTACTGGTCTTGTATCAGGAGTTTGGCTGTGATGTGCGGGGCGAGGGCGTAATGCTGAGCTCTGCCGGTTTTGTGCCGCTGTGCCGTCAGGCAGCGCAGGAGCTGCTGGAGGCCCCGTAGCTGACCTGGAGAGGCTGCGTGGTCGAGCTGCTGCGGTTCGGCAGCTTGCAGCGCAGGACACCTGGTTCTCACACTGTCTTTCCATGTGTCCTTGAACGAGTTCCCTCTGTGCCGACCTGCTTTGTTAACTGCTCTGATTCTGCTGATGAAAGGTGCTGGTGTGGAGCTGTGTACTTGTAAGACAGTAACTGGAATGCGAAGCTTTCGGTGTGAAACCTTCTGGTAAATTTGGTGTCTGCTGTTTGTATGTTGTCTTCTCTGGCCTTTTACGAGGCAATCCACGTGTGCCTTGCTCCAAGATTAGCTCTGCGCTTTCCTGCGTGCATTGTGGCCCTTGGCTTTTTCCGTTGGGGTTACAGCTCTCTAAACGCGTGTGGTGCCTTGGCCATGTGGTGCTATGTTGTTTCTTAAACGTAGAGCTTGTAAGTATGCAATAAGAAACGATGCCGGTCCAGTGGCCGAGGGATCTGCCCAGTGCTGCCGACCCACACGGAGCAGCCCGGTTCCAGGGCTCCGATACGCTGGAGACCTGAACGGAAACCGCCGGCTGCCTCCTTCCGACTGAAGGGGCCTTTCCTGAAATGTCATTTTCTTCCTTGTGCCTTATCCTTCCGACTGCTTTGTCTCTTTAGCCAGTGTTTCTGTTCTGCTTTCTAGGTTTCCAGCAGGTTTCTCTGTTGTCTTCCTACGAAGTTGTAGTCCCACAGAGGTTAGGAAGAGAACGGCGAGAGGCGTCCAATGTCTCCTCAGTACAGGTACTTGGCAGTCTTAAAAATGCCTTCAGTTTAATATCTATTTCCTAACAAAGTCCACCCAAAATTGACTGAAATTCTCACAAAAGACTGTTGGATTCATCTAGCAGCAAACAAGCATCCATCCTTACAAAAGGTATTACATCTAGCATTGCCTTTAGCTGCCTTCCAGTAAATACCTCCTGCTCCAGAGGTTACAAGTTGCCACAATGGATTTTTGATCTGGGTGTAAAAGTTGCATCGTGGGACTTGTTAAGCACTGGAAGGACTTTTGGAGAGGTGATGGAATCATTATCCTGGGAGACGCTCAAAATGCGATTGGAGGAGGCCCTGGGCAGCCTGGCCCAGCCCTGTAGCTGGCCCTGCTTTGAGCAGGGGGTCGGGTCAGACAGCCTCCACCAGTACTCTCCAGCCTGTAGTATTCTGCTGTAGCCATGTAACTAAAGACTGCACACTTTAAAGTATTTGCACTAGACCAACTGTGCTTAGTCACAGATCTTATAAGCATTGACAGAATTGAATATCAACAAAAATGCCTTACCATTTACTGCAGTCATTGACTGGTGGTCCTGCTGTGGTAGTTAATGTAGTGGTCAGCTGATGCAGCTTATGTGCTTAATACTGAAGGACCCCAGCTGCTGTGTGTAGCACTGGGCTAACGCAAGGCTGTGGAGGTACTGGCTTGCTGTGAGTAATAAAACTGTATTTTCCTTTTCCAGCTGTAACTAAGAGTTTTTCTGTGGAAGTCTTAGAAACAAGGAATAAGAAAACCACAAAGCTATTCTGAAATAGCTTCCTTCATGTGACTTTTCCCCAGTTACACAGGAAGGGATACCAGGTTCCGGAGGTAGGGACAATTATAAAATAGGCTCACCCACATGTGGTTGTTCCTGGTCTGGTGCAACTAGCAGGATTTAAGAAGGAAGGTTCATTAGCTCAGTATCTGGCCATTTCAGTGTGTGGACACGGCAGTCGTTCTGTCTGCTGGGTGTCAGGGAACCAGAGCAGATCCTGATGGTTGTGGTCACCTTCTCATTGTGAAGTCTCGTGGGCACAGCGAAGTCCGCTGGGAGCCAAAGGAACAGCCGCTCCCCTGGCCAGCTCTGGGGCAGCAGCAAGAAGCGTGGTGGGAGAGGCAGCTCAGATCAACAGAGTTCTGCGTCCCTCTGCGGGGTGGTTTAAGTTCTGTTGGTATCAGCTGCGTCTCCAGCAGCGTCTGAGCTGTATGTGAAAAGGCTGGGAGTACAGACCAGTCTGAGTTACAGGAGGTGACAGGAGTGATTTGAATGTTACAGTCGTAGCAGTAATGAAGCTTGCAGAGACTGCTTTCTGCCAAACTTTTGTTTTATTCATTAACATGAGTAAAATGCAACTGTTCTTATATTTAGGACAAGGTGTCGTATGCTCTTGAGATAGAGGGAAAAGAATACACGATTCATCTAGAGAAGAACAAGTAAGTAATTTCTTTATTAAACTCCATCTATTGTGTACAAATAACAAGCTGGCAGGTAGCGTGCGAGTTGTGGTCCTTCAGGTTTGCTCTGAGAAGTGCAGTTACATGCTAGGTCCGTGACATCTGCAGAGAAAGACGGCAGAAGTGGATTCCGTCACAGCGTCGTGGCTGTCGGCCAGAAATCGTGTGGAGCTCCGGCAGCCCTGGTGATCCCGGTCAGGAAAGGAAGCAGTAGTTTGCTCAGAGGGCATCTGTGGAATTGTTGAAATGACTCTCTCCGTTCACATCTAAAAATAAATAAACTGAACTATATTTCAAGTCCATATTTTCGCTTTCTTCTGGGTTTTGTTTATTGTTTCAGGGGGTTTGTTCCTGTCTCTGTAGCACATGGACACTAATAAAAAAGGAAAGTGACTTTGTATCTAAGGCCCTGATAGCCATAGCTTACAGACAGTGTAGGTGCTGTCTGTCTGGAGTTTAATTTTTAAAGGGCTACTTGCAGCAACAGCAAGTTACCATTTATCAGACTATTGCTTCTTAAAGCTGCCTTCGTAATAGACAAAACAGAAGTAGCTGTTTAGATGTACAAGCCCCTGGGGATCTCTAGCTGCCACTTGCCAAGCCCCTGACCCTCAGAAACATGGGA